AATTAACGAATTAATTATCTCAGAATTACGAGATCATTTTTCATGGAAAAAAGTTTTTGCAGTTTTTCTGAATTAACGAGTTAATTATCTCAGAATTACGAGATAATTTTTCATGGAAAAAAGTTTTTGCTGTTTTTTTCTGAATTAACGAGTTAATGATCTCAGAATTACGAGATAATCTTTCATGGAAAAAAGTTTTTGCTCTGTTTTTCTGAATTAACGAATTAATTATCTCAGAATTACGAGATAATTTTTCATGGAAAAAAAGTTTTTGCTCTGTTTTTTCTGAATTAACGAGTTAATGATCTCAGAATTACGAGATATTTTTTCATGGAAAAAAAGTTTTTGCTCTGTTTTTCTGAATTAACGAGTTAATTATCTCAGAATTACGAGATCATTTTTCATGGAAAAAAGTTTTTGCTGTTTTTCTGAATTAACGAGTTAATTATCTCAGAATTACGAGATAATTTTTCATGGAAAAAAGTTTTTGCTGTTTTTTTCTGAATTAACAAGTTAATGATCTCAGAATTACGAGATAATCTTTCATGGAAAAAAGTTTTTGCTCTGTTTTTCTGAATTAACGAATTAATTATCTCAGAATTACGAGATAATTTTTCATGGAAAAAAAGTTTTTGCTCTGTTTTTTCTGAATTAACGAGTTAATGATCTCAGAATTACGAGATATTTTTTCATGGAAAAAAAGTTTTTGCTCTGTTTTTCTGAATTAACGAGTTAATTATCTCAGAATTACGAGATAATTTTTCATGGAAAAAAGTTTTTGCTCTGTTTTTCTGAATTAACGAGTTAATAATCTCAGAATTACGAGATAATTTTTCATGGGGAAAAGTTTTTGCTCTGTTTTTTTCTGAATTAATGACTTAATTATCTCAAAATTATGAGTAACTCTTTAATTCATAAAAACACAGTGAAAAAAATGTTTTTCAAGAAAAATGTATCTCATAATTTTGAGATATTAACTCGTTAATTCAGAAAAATCAGAGCAAAAACTTTTTTTCCATGAAATATTATCTTGTAATTCTGATAATTAACTCGTTAATTCAGAAAAACAGAGTAGATTTTTTTTCCTCAAGTGAATGCAATACGCTTCTGTAAGTCCGTCTAATTTGATCCAATGGCGGCATTCAAATTAGCGGTGAAGGTCTCAACGCGCGTTCCGTCTCTTCCAATGGCAAAGGGATTTTTAATTAAATACAATACATTTTATCTTATGTATTAACTCGTTTCATCTGACTCCATAAAATGAAAGTGTTTTAATGATATCTGTGCATCATTAAATATACGTTAATGTTTGACTATTCCTTTTAACTCCAATGGAAATGAAGTCAAAGTCTGTTAGAATAATCAAATATAACAATTTATTATGTCAGGTAAAAGTATTATGCCAATTTCATAATCAGTTCAAAGATCATCAATACAAAACATCAAATGCTTTAGGATAAGAGAAATAGATGCAAACCCAACATTTAAGAACTACATGAGCTAATCCTCACGGGCTATCTGAAATACAGAAAGGGCCACGATCCCTTGCTGCATTCCATTAAATAGCCAGAACTTCTTTTCAATGGTAATTTGCATTCAGGTTACACCTTATTTTGGGGGTAGGGGAGAAAGGCCATTTGCCTAAAGTCCACCTTCCTTTGTGTGTCATCTCTAAACTTCTAAAAAACCTTATTACCTTTTGTTTTACCTTTTGGAATGAGACATCTGAACCACTCACTCTGGAACATTTAAAATGATACTAAACACAATAATCATTCACATGAAACCATATATATATTCTTATGTGAGTGTGGGTGATCTCTGCAAGAGTGGGGGATGCGGGAGTGTGTGTGTGAGAGGTGTTCAGATGTTAATTTGCAAGCAAGGTCCTTTGTCTTACAGATCTGTGGTGAGGTGGATTCCTTCAACCAGTTTTACAGTCTTACACTTCCGTACGTTTCTAATGTTGTATATTAAAATTTCTCTCGTATTCAGACTAAACAGACGCCAATTTATCAAATAATCTTAATTATATCACTAGTAAGTCATGGAGACACAAATAGCACTGTTTCCTCAGAATAACACACGTTATTATATCTAATCTGATTGTGGTTTAATGGGCAGAACTCCATGTGTGTTTAATGACATACACTGATCTGATTGGTTTATATAGGTTGTCTAGCTGTTCAGGGTCAGTGTACTCACACATGCTACTGTAAAGATTAACAGCTCTTAAAAGCACACACGTAAACAAGTGCCTTTGTGTGTGTGTGTGTGTGTGTGCGTCCGTAGAGGAAGAATACTATTCCAGACAAAGTCAAGACAGGGCATATTGCCATCTGATTTGATTATTTCATGTCTGTGAGGAAAACAGTGACACAAATGAGGTGATTTCCTTAATAAAAACAACAACAGAACAACATCTACTACAAAATGACCTTTGTATGACCTTTAAATTACCAAAAATAAATTCCTAAGTAAGCCTTCATATCATTAATTGCTAAATCAAAACAGAAGTTTTTCTTTTGTTTCCAAAGGGAAACTGTGGTCACTATGGCAACAGTGCAGTAATGACATCATTTTCATTTTGTGGTATGAAGAGAACCTTTGACTTGTGTTATTTATTTTTAATCTGATATTATGATTGATATCATTAAATTAACTCCGAGCTCATCATTCAAATGTGAACGCATTATAATATCATGGCGAGAGAGAAAGATTTCCAATTAAATTAATAAATCTCATGTCAGCAGTGCTGTGGCTGGGATATTTTGTTTGTTTGTTACTGCTGAAAATAAATCTGCTGCGTAGCATGTAAAGATGTATGTTGAAATATGCACTGAAACGTCTAATAATTCTGTCCGTGTGTAATTCGCTTTGCAGCGTGTTGTTTAGGCCCACTGGGTGTTCATGACTTTTCTGGGAAAGATGCATTCATAAGAAAAATATATTTGTTTGTTAACGTTGATGCCGAGAATGTTTTAAGAGGATTTAAATGAGACAGCAGAGCCTCCAATAAGCCTTTTCTCTCTCTCTCTCTCTCTCTCTCTCTCTCTCTCTCTCTCTCTCTCTCTCTCTCTCTCTCTCTCTCTCTCTCTCTCTCTCTCTCTCTCTCTCTCCTCCAAATTGCAGTAACAGCCCAGATTTTCTTTTTCACACAGACACACTCATATAAACATAAATAGAGATAATAATAACATCAGCAACAACAAAACAAAATAGTCTAATAATAATAACTATATATAAGCAGTATCACACGAGCAAGCATGCCGATCCATTGCTTTTATACAACAGCTCAATAAATACATATATTAAGGGTGCGTCTTGCGGAAGAACATTGTAGCCGGAACTACTTCTCTCCCTCATCCTTCCCTCAGGTCATTTTGACCCGACATTTTTTTTTTTAAATGTTAAAAATGTAGTGTTCATTAGAGGTGTACTTTTGTCACTTAAACCACGAATACACACTAAAAAAAAATGGATTCGAGGAGTTTTGTGGTTGAAATTTAAAAAAGTAACAAATCCTTCACTCGAGGGTCAATTTGACCCACATATAGGAATGAATGCGAGGAATGCTTCAGTACACAGAAAAACCTAAAAATGCTCAATTCAAACTAAAAATACTAAAACTTTACCAAATAATTATTTTATAATGTCTACTCTACATGTATCTGAATGCATACTGAAGAAAAAAATGACGTTAGGACCCAATGAAAAAGCTTGTTTGCTCCAAATAGAGCTATAGGGTCATATAGTGTATACCATAGGTGTATCCTGGTTGACACCAGACCCTTCTCAGTTGTAACTTGCAGAGCAAATCTCAAATTTGCAGGAAGTTCGTCTGGGTTTTCCCAGGCAACATCTAGTGGCTAGACTAGAGTCATGAAATATCATGTTATGTTATTTTGTTCCACAAGAGGTCGGCAAAGACACCCAATGTAAGATATTTTGAGCTGAATTAAAAGGTGTACAGTTACAGTATGCATGAAATTCTGAGTCATTTTGAATTTAAGTTGAAAGAATGTGCTTAAATTACAAATTTACTATGTATTTATTATTTATTGATTAAATCTAGTAATTTAAAGGTAAATAAAATAAGAAAATCTCCCAAAAAGGGCATTAAAAAAATAGAAAAAAATTAAATAGAATAAGCTTTCTGAACAAAAAAATTAAATTAAGTATATTTTTGGGGCTTCGGGTCATTTTGGGAAGGATTTGTTACAGGACGCGAGGGAAAGATGAGACCAGTCACCCAGATAATGTTACTGGGCTACTCCGCAGCGGTTGTCGACCCGCTCGGTCTTAAATAGTCCGAATATAAACACTTATTATAGGCGTACGTAGTGATTCAGGATAAGACAAAATCACGGCTTGGAATATGAATTCATGATATAGCCTACATTTTGTAAATTTGTAACAAAAAGAGTTACATAGTGTAGGCTACCTTTAAAAAGGCCAAACTTACTTCGTCCGTTTTGTTCCCCCAACGAAAATATTTCCAAACGAAGTCAGAATCGAAATGCATCACTTAAAGACAGGGTGTGTGACTGTGGTGATTCATTCCTGGTTTAATCAACGTGTTTGAAGGTTTGAACGAATTGTTTTTGAGTGAATGATTCAACGACTCATTCATAAAGACGTCATTGTTCGTTCCTGACTGAATTCGCGGTTTTGAACAAATCGTTTAAATAAATGATTCCATGATTCATATTTCGCCACCTACTGACGAATCGATGTAACGGGCAGTCACTTAATTGCATTTATTGTTTATTGAATAATAATATCAACAACAATAATGCATTGCTTATTATTCTTATTAACCTATTCATATTAAATTAAATAATTGATTATTGTAATCTAAGTTTATAATTATTATTATTATAACAGCTAGTGTTAAAACGAGACTTGCACACTGATAGTAGAGACAACTGTGCGGTTTTATGTTTCCTTTGAGCTGTTTGAATATTAACAGAAGAAAGAAAGTGAGATAAAGTGAGTCCCTCCCTTTTCACTGAACTTCTGTGAAACTCCTTCAGACTGAGTTGACTCGTCCATCATGGCGGTGTTTTCGTCTCTTACTCCGGTGTTCGTGGCGGTTTTGTGCGTTGTTATAGGGTTTCTCTTCAAAAACTCCCAGAGGAGAGAGAACAGATCCAAGCAGAAGAGTTCAGGAGACACAGCCAGACCATGGGTGGATGAGGATCTGCAGGACGACACAGAAATCAGCAGGAAACACAGCGGTACTGTAGGCTACACTATATTTCTGTAACAAAATAAAGTAGTAAGTGACAGGAACTTGACTTTTTATTTTAGTTTAACACCCATTGTCCAGTCTACAAAAGCAAAAATACTTACAATAATACTATGTAAACATTTAAATAAATAAAGCAGCATTAGTATATGCATTATAGATTTTTACATTAGTATATAGAGTATCAGAATCATGATACATGCTATGTATAGGCTATTATACATATTTTCTAATTATAATTCAAATCAATGTATTGATATACTATAGTAATATTGTTATATTATGTCATATAATAATTTATGCATACCAGCCATGCCCCCAAACATGCAAAACCAATCATGGATATAAATATATAGACTATTATTTTTTTTTTTAAGTAGACCCGTATTTCAACAATAAAGCATATGATTACTGCAATGAGCAAAAAATTAATGACTGGCCCCCAGGAGGTTAAATGAGAATATGTTGAAAATCATCGGTGTCATCTTGAGCACTTGAAACTGTCTGGATGGTTAGAGTACAAGAGTGGACAGCAAACATAAACTCGACACCAAGCCTTTGAAGAGGGAAGTCGAGCGCAAAGATGCAGAACTTTTGAAGAGATCTCATCGTCTGACATCTCAAAACTTTATGGGGCAGAGTTTTGAACCCAATGCAAAGGTTCAAGTCCAAAAAAGTCTTGCTGAAGATGTTGCAATACGGAACACATATTCTGTATTAACAATGACTTTAGCCTCATTAAATTTTGCTTATTAATAGTTATTTGTTAAGTTTAGTATTGGATAGAATTAAGGGATGTAGAATATGATCATGCAGAATAAGGCATTAATATGTGCTTTATAAGTAATAAGCCAATACCCTTGTTATGCATGCTAATAAGCAAAGTGTGAATTTGAGAATATAATAGTGAGAATTAGACCCTAAACTAAAGTGTTACCCAATATATTATTTTTCATAATTGCATATAAGTAATCATATTTTGCATATATGGCAGTTTCTGATGACCAATAAAAACAAAAGACAGATGAGACTGCCATGATGTGACTTTGTGTTTCTTTTTATTGGCTAAATCTGTTGTATGTGCACAGAGGATGATGATGATGATTGGCTAGACACAACAGAGGAAGAAGGCTTAGTCCATATCCCGTACACTCCTGCTCAGTACTCCTCTGCCGAGATGCTGGAGCGCTCGGAGAAGTTTTACTCGCTCATGAATCTGAGACGGTCTGTCCGCTTCATCAGTCCAGAACCGGTTCCAAAAGAAGTGATTGACAATGTCATCCGCACTGCAGGTAATGCAGCCAATCGCCATGATGGAAACAAGTCAAAGACAGCTCTTCGTTTCATTCACTCTCTCTCTCTCTCTCTCTCTCTCTCTCTCTCTCTCTCTCTCTCTCTCTCTCTCTCTCTCTCTCTCTCTCTCTGTGTGTGTGTGTGTGTGTGTGTGTGTGTGTGTGTGTGTGTGTGTGTGTGTGTGTGTGTGTGTGTGTGTGTGTGTGTGTGTGTGTGTGAAAGGCACTGCCCCCAGTGGAGCTCACACTGAACCCTGGACATTTGTGGTGGTGTCTGATGCCGATGTGAAACACAAGATCAGAGAGATCGTCGAGGAAGAGGAGGAGATCAACTACAAGCAACGGATGGGAGACAAGTGGGTCCACGACCTGAAGAGACTTCGGTGTGTTTCAAATAGACAAGAGGCTTCAAAAATATATATTTTTACATATAGTTTTATGGTAAATGTTTATTAGTTTTTATTTTTACTGTACTATACCATTATGTATTATAATTTAATATAACAATTACAGACACATAACAAATAATAGCAATATGAGTTGATAAACTCAATTAGCTATGATATTAGTGCCCCCTTGTGGTTACTTTTTTCTATCTCTTTTTTTTTTACCATGGTTAACAATGTTTCAGTTAAGTTAAGAGGTCACATAAAACAACAATAAAAAATAAAAACATGAAATTATTATTATTATAATACAATATACAGTCATTTATTAATATTATTTATAAGAAACAATAATATTTATAATACTATAATATTATAAAATAAAAAAATATATATTTATAATGTGATCCATTATAATATATTAATAATTAAATGTTTTATTATTATTATTGTTGTAATACTTTACACAGATTTTGTATAAGAATTATTGTTAATATTTTTGTTGTTGTTGTAATACTGTTCACAGTAATATAATAACAATATTTATTAGAAATAATAATGTTTATAAGACTATAATAATTAAGATTTAAATAATATTTTTATAATACTATACACTAATATAATAATAATAATTATTATTATTATTGATTTTGTTGTTGTAATGGTATACACAGTGATATAATAATAATATATAAGAAATAATATTTATAATGCTATAATATTTATACAATTATACAATTATACAATATATTTATAATATGATACACTATAATATAATAATAATAATTAAATCCGTTATTATTATTGTAATTTTTGTAATACTTTACACTACACAGTAATTTAATACAATATTTATTAGGAATAATAAAGTTGATAATACTATAATACTATACACTGTAATATGATAATAATAATTATTATTGTTTTTGTTGTTGTTGTAATGCTATACAGAGTAATATAATAATAATAATAATAACACGTGATCATATTTATAATACTCCACACTGTAATACACTGTGTCTTTCACAGAACAAACTGGGTGAAGGAGTATCTGGATGTGGCTCCGTATCTGATCCTAGTGTTTAAGCAGACACATGGACTTCTGCCCAGCGGCAAGAAAAAGACTCACTATTACAATGAAATCAGTGTGTCGATTTCCTGTGGGATTCTGCTGGCCGCCCTGCAGGTGAGACTCAGAAACGCGCGTACACATCAAACATTTGTGGATCTTTGAATTTGAATTTCATGTGATATTCCATTTGATGGTGTTAGAATGTTGGGCTGGTTACCGTGACGACCACTCCTTTGAACTGTGGTCCACAGTTGAGGTCCCTCCTCCAGCGACCAGCCAATGAGAAGCTTCTAATTCTGCTTCCTGTTGGCTATCCTGCGTCTGACGCCAAAGTGCCTGACCTCAAACGCAAGGACCTCAGTGACATAATGGTGACTGTGTGACAAGCACCAGCTGCTGGAAGCCATAATAACACCAAATCTTTAGATCTCTTTTGAATGTATGATTGTGTTCTTTGTCTAAAATGAGTTTTGGCAAATTAAACCGATGTTCTCATCTCACTGCTTTGTTTTTATGATACCTTACCATAATAAAGGGATGTTCCAGTGATGGTTCACATTTGAATACAGTTCCATGGTTCTTTTAGCCTGGTTAAAACCAGACCATTCTCAGTTGTAACTTTCAGAGCAAATCTAAATTTGCCGGAAGTTGTCTGGGTTTTCCCAGGCTATGGTTCTTTCAATGTATGCCTCATATTGTGAATCTGCTGTGATCTATGCAAAACATTAAAAGACATGTTTGTATCTATGGTTTCTGCACTCTCACTCCTGCACTGACATATATGAAAGGGGCTTCATGTTTATTTTACACTGGTTATAAAAGATAATTTTGCAATAATCATCTCTAAATTACAGTTCACAGTATGTTTAAAGGTGAAGGTGAAGTGTGTATTGTTTATTATATTAACATACTGTTGTGCTTTTTAATATTCATCTTTTGAGACTGAAAACTCCTTCTAGAGCTTTCAAGCATGTTTAAGCACATTGTATGTTTATAACATGATTTAGCATGTTGCTAGCTTGACAAAGCCTAGCAATTACCTTTGTGCTAAAACAATCAAGCAACATGCTAACAGCATGTTAAAATACGTTAGCAACATGTTGTTAATTAATGTTAGCAACATGTTGTTAATTCATGTTAGCAACATGTTAATTCATGTTAGCAACATGTTAATTCATGTTAGCAACATGTTGTTAATTCATGTTAGCAACATGATAATTCTAATTCATGTTAGCAACATGTTGTTAATTCATGTTAGCAACATGTTAATTCATGTTAGCAACATGTTGTTAATTCATGTTAGCAACATGATAATTCTAATTCATGTTAGCAACATGTTGTTAATTCATGTTAGCAACATGTTGTTAATTCATGTTAGCAACACATTAATTCATGTTAGCAACATGTTAATTCATGTTAGCAACATGTTAAAACATGATAGCAACATGTTAAAACATGATAACAACATGTTAATCGTGCTAACAATGTGTTAAAACATGCTAGCAATGTTAAAGCCATAGACTGGTTAAAGCAGTGGTTCTCAAACTGCGGGAGATCAGCAGAAAAAGAAGAAAAAACAGCCATTGCAACGGCATTCAAGTGCGTGAATAGCGTTCTGCCTTTATAAAGCGCCATCGGACATCAATTACACTGAATCGTTTTTCTTCAGACCGTTGATTTGTCACCATTAGAACAAGCCCAACATAGAAGTTGCTCGCCATAAAAGCACCTCTCCAGCGGACCGAATTTTTAAAAAAGTTTAAAGGGGGGCGCAACCAAAAAAAAGTTTGAGAACCACTGGGTTAAAGCATGCTAAAAAATATGCTAAAACATGTTAACAATGTGTTAAAACATGCTAGTAATGCATTAATTCATGTTAACAACATGCTAAAACATGCTAGCAATGTGTTAATTCGTGTTATAAATGGTTAATACCGGTATTGTGTTAAATCATATTAGCAAAATGCTTAAAACATGAAAGCAATGTGCTAAATCATGCTAAAACATGCTGGCAATGTAAAACATGTTTACACAACATGCTAAAACACCTTATCTATCTATCTATCTATCTATCTATCTATCTATCTATCTATCTATCTATCTATCTATCTATCTATCTATCTATCTATCTATCTATCTATCTATCTAAGTAGTAATAGACATTTTAGGATGTTATTAATAAAAACAAAACATGTTAATTAATTTGACTACTTTTATTTTCACCCAAACAGGCTTTTTATTTTTTGAAGAATAAACCTCAGGTTAATATTACAATTATGCCTGATAACTGATAATAATTTTTGTGTCATGATTGATATGACTGATATGATGGTTGATATAATAGACCTATACTGTTGTAATGTACATTAAAGCTGTAGTCTTCTGGAATAAAAACATGATAATATATAATCTTGACCTTTGAATTTTGCGGCGAATAAATACGTCCTATTAATACATTGACATTTTGCATCGTTTTTTTTTTTATTTAACCAGGAGGTCCCATTGAGATTCAGAATCTCTTTTACAAGAGAGACCTGGCCAAGGTAGCAGCCAAACCACAACAAATGCATACATTACAAACACTAAATTACATTTTCATGATAAAAGTAGTACAAAAAGAACACAATGAGACTCTTAAGAAAAACAAGAACATGTCTCCATCACAACACTCTTTACAGTAGTTTTAAATTCATTTATGGACATAAGGGTTTCTAACCTTAGCTCTTTTTGTAGATTATTCCACCCCCAAGGTGCTAAATAAGAGAAAGCAGTTCTTCCCAATTCAGTTGTAACTCGTGGCACGTTAAAAAGCAACCACTTTGAGGAGCGTAGCTGATAGGTACCAGAGCAGACAGAGAGGAGGTTACAGAGGTACAGTAGAAGTTTGCCAAGTATTAGCTTTATAAATAAAGATATACCAGTGCTGCTGTCTACGAATTGTAAGTGATGTCCAACCAACTAAATCATAAAGAATGCAGTGATGGGTAAGTGACTTTGTATTTGTTATGAATCGTAGTGATGCATGGTAAACTGAATCAACATGACGCAAGGTGGAGGATGCAGCATGCATGTACATATATCTCCATAATCAATTACAGACAGAAAAGTAGCTTCCACAAGTTTCTTCTTAGCACTAAAAGTAAAACAAGATTTGTTTCTGAAATAGAAGCCGAGCTTGACTTTAAGTTTCTTGACTAAAGCAGTAATATGTTCATTGAAGGTGAGCTTATCATCTATCCATATGCCCAAGTACTTGTATGAAGACACTCTCTCAATTGATTTCCCATCTAAGGACAAGAGGGACTTTTGGGACTGAATTTATGCTGATCTTAGTATAAAAAAATATGCTCACAATTTAGAATACTGAAAATGTTATCAAGTTAAAAAAATAATTTGAGTACTTTTTTTTTTTCTTTTTCTTTTTTTTACCAAACAGACTTTTATTTTGAAAACAAATTGTTCAAAATACGTTGACGTATTTGACGTTGACTAGTACAGGAAGTTCCTTTTAGTTAGTTAGTTAGTTGACAGATCTCCTTAATCGATTATCTTATTAGACTTGCATTTTGTGATCGATATAAGGAAGTAAATATGTAATATATCTCAACATTTTTGTAGTTGTACTGTTAATGCGTCGCGCTCGATAAGCACAGCGGTGTAGTTTGAGTGTGTCGCCGAGGATGTCGTGCTCGCTGGAGAAGGTGCTCGGCGACGCGAGGACTCTCCTGGAGCGGCTGAAGGAACACGATAACGCCGCGGAGGGTCTCATCGACCAGTCCAGCGTCCTCAGCCAGAAGATACACAGCATGAAGGAGGTCGGAAACACTCTCCCTGACAAGGCATGATATAAAATCTCTCACTGACCACCCTACAGAGCACCTGTAGTATGACAAAAAGCATGCACTGCACGAATTACAGTTGTTTGCATGTACATTGCACAATATGATTTATTGCTGTAAAGCATTTGGCTTATTGTGTAAGATCTGGGCTGGTGGTAAACACTGCAAAAAATGGTTTTATTACTCAGTGTGGTTTTTTTTTTAACTTGAGAAGCAAAATGACTTCAGAAAGTGAGTCTTGTCAAAAACAAATAAGTTTGTGCTTAAAATAAGAAACAAAAAAAATGTCAGTGGGTTATGAAAAAATAAACTTAATTCAAAGGCTTATATTTTAAAGGCAGATGTTTTTCTTTTTTTAAGAATAAACTAATACATTTTTCAGACAACAAGACTTATCTTAAGTCATTTTTGTCCATGAGGTTGTTTGTTTGTTTGTATGATGATTTAATAATTTTTTAGATATTTGTAATTTAAAACAAGACAAAACCATAGAGTAAGAACATCATTTTTATCTGTTGCCTCCGGTTACTCCAGGAAAATCTGTGGATAAAATCTTGATTGCAATGCAATATAAAAGTTTTGACTGATAACTGATCGTTATTTTTGTGTTATGGCTGATAATTGATATGATGTCTGATTTTATAAATACTGTTGACATGCACATTAGTCTTTCATTTTGTGCAAAGTAAAATCAGGAATAAACTTGATAATATACAATTTTGATGGTTGATTTTTTACAAAGTATATTGTTAATGTTCTAGTACTAATCTATTCTTTTATCTTTATCTTTTTTTTGCATTTGGGACTAAATTTAATTTATGCTGATTTCAAGCCTGCAACTAATGATCATTGTGAGATATTATTCTGTTGTTTATTTACTTGATTAATTGGATAAAGTCAAATATTCTTCTCTCTCTCGAAAACAATATATATATATATATACTGTATGTATACGTATGTTTATATATATATATATATATATATATATATACACATAAAATTAGTTTTATTGTATAGCCCCAGAACCCTGTATATGTTGCATCTCTATTGACACCAAATGAAGAATAATCAATAACTACCCAATATGAAGCTCTATTTTCCCTGTCTTTAGTACACCGAGGAAGGCACAGAGTATCAGGAGCTGTCCAGATACAAACCTCACGTCCTGCTGACCCAGGAGAACACCCAAATCAAAGATCTCCAGCAGGAGAACAGAGGCAAGACAGCTAGAGTTTCTTCATAGAGTCTCACATTTTGAAAGTGAAACCTTGATTCGACTCGTTGTGCTGTTCACAGATCTCTGGCTGTCTCTGGAGGAGCACCAGTACGCTTTAGAGCTGATCATGGGCCGGTACCGAAAGCAGATGCTTCAGCTGATGATGGAAAAGAAAGAGCTGGATACTAAACCTGTGCTCAACCTTCACCAGGATCATGCCATGGTGCCAAACCTTTGATTTCTCAGTAGTTGATGTCTTTCCTTTAAAGTGCCCCTGTTATGCTTTTTCAAATATTACACTTCATGTAGTGTGTAACACAGCTGTTTGTGAATGTAAAAGGTCTGCAAAGTTTCAAAGAGTGTCTCAGTCTCAATTCCTGCACGAAGCTACGTAGGTTTTATAACAAAATTGGACAATGCAACAAAACCATGTGTCTACGTCTGCTTTGACCCTCAAACACTGCATTTGTAGCTGAAACTGGACGAGTTTGGTTCATGTGTCGACATGCCGAGAAGACGCTGTTTTCAGTGCTGAGAAAGCAAATCCACTTTGCTGCACATCCAAAGCATGAGGACTCGTGTTTAAATGAATACAGTAAAAACCAACGCCATCGTTACTGTTCGTATCACTATGTATCAAGTGCTGAGGAGGATCCACAGCTGAAATTCAGATATGGTAATGAGTGTTTGGTTTCGGGACATATGTTGTAAGCGATCGACCAATCACAACAGACTGAGCCATCTGACCAATCAGAGCAGAGTAGCTCTCGGAAAGGAGGGGTTTAGAGAGACTGAATCTTTTACTGAACCGATTCGAACACTGCAATGGATATTATGAGAAAATGTAAGTGTTTTTTTTACCCTGGATGCATATAAACCTTTTGTAGGAGACTCCAAAAAAAGATTGCTAAACAAAATTAGCAATCTTTAAAATAGCATAATAGAGGCACTTTAAAATAAGTCTGATTCAGTGTTCAAAAATATGTCAGAACGAAACCTAAAATAAGCTTTTATTTTTCCCAGGAGGTTCAAAACCAGTTGGAGCGGATCTGTGAAATGGGTCAAGTTATGCGTCAAGCTGTACAGATGGACGACCGACACTACTGCTCGGTGAAAGAGCGACTGGCACAGCTCGAGGTACTGGCTTTATTTGATTTTGCCCGATTAGACACTTATGCTTTTGTATCTCACCTTTATTTTCAAGTCACCTTTATTTAGAGCGCTTTATACAATAGAAATTGTTTTGAAAGCAGCTTCACATAACAGGAAAGTATCAGACTGAATGATGAAAACATCAAATATGAGACTAATTCAAATTGTGCTGTAAAGCAGCTCTAAAAAGACGATAGTGTCATCATTCAGCTCAAGTCAGTGTTGATTCAGTTCAGTTCAATAACTGCAAAGTTCATTATGAAACGTGTTTAAGTGCTGCACAATTAATCATATCGCAATCGTAATCGCGATGTCAAGCCTATGCGATTATATGACGCAAAATCCTGCGATTTTATATGAAATAAACAAATTAGGGCTGTTAACGCAGCATCTGTTATTTTTTGTCATCCTTTGGCTAGTGTTACACGATCCTGCTCTTATTCATGCGAATGCTTTAAACCATTCAGCGAGACAAGTCAAAAGAGAGCGCGCTCCCTGTGTATGTTCTGACTGAAAGAGCGCGCCAGTATCATTCATGCGCATGCACAGACCGCACGCCAGAATACAGTTCTCTTTCCGCTTGAAGTGAACGAACAATAACACACACAATTATGCCAAAATATCATTTGTCGAGTGTCTTCATAACATAAGAGCAGTCTTACGATGGTCGGAAAGAGTTGTGAGAGAATAAGGCGCGTGTGAGATCTGCGTCTCTGTCAGCAACTCTTAAAGGGCCAGCATCCAATAATGCTTTCGGTCAGTAAAGTTAATCAAAGAACAAAGGAAACAGAGAAAAACACTCACTGCTCTTGACCAAATAACTTGTGTAGCTTTAAATAGGATTTTAGTCCATATAATTTATAATTTATGCAGCGCAGACTGTTTGATAACTTTATTCAATTTCTGTATATATATGTCCTACCTGTTAGACAGGAAGAGCACAGGTAAATATGACATTTATTATGGGTTTATGTGAGGATTGTTTGAAGTTCACTTAAATTAAAATATTTTTTTATCCAGACATCAATGGCTTATTGATCATTATAGGTGTTATCAATCATTTAGTTGTTGTTGCTAGTTTGAGTTGAGAAATACACATTTCAGAATTATCACTAATCTGTGTGTGCATTTTGATTTAGAACCAAGCAAGTTGACACATGAAACCATTTGTTTATTATATCGCAATCGCATATTGCAATATTGACCTCAATAATCGCAATATGACATTTTCCCCAAATCGTGCAGCCCTAGTGTTTAATTCTGCTGTAAGGCAGCTCTACAGAAGACTTGTGTTGTTATTTCGCTTCATCCAATAGTGTCAGTGCAGCCAAACCAATAATATTGCTGCATATTCAGTGTATGTTGATAAAACACCTTTTTGTTGATGCAGATTGAAAACAAAGAGCTGAGGGATCTTCTGTCCATCAGCAGCAGCGCCGTGAGGCCGAATAGAGAGGACACGAGCCCACCAGAGACGGATGACAAACAGGACTCTGAATAGAGGAAATGTTACTTTACATGGCAGTTTGTATGTCGGATGCCCTGGCGTCCACTGATGTTAAAATCTGTATTGGGTTTTCTAGCGTGGTTTAGCTTCCTGCTGCCCGATGATGCACTTTCTGATGTTTATTGTTGTTATTGATGCTGTTCTGAAAAATTCAGTTTTAATAACAGACACTTAAGCAAATGTGCATTATAGATCAAATCTGCCTCTATTTCTATTTACATTTTCAACCAAACAAAACAAAAATTTAAAAATGAGATTTGTTGGCTTAAATTGAGTTGTAGCTTTACCTTTAGCGGGTTTATAGGTGGTCTTAGGTCACATGAATGAATTGACAGTGCATTCTGTATACGTGAAAACAGATTATTAACTAATCTCAGCGTAAGATAGTTGTATCGTTAAGAAAGTTGTATGTATCCGCAGTATTGCATCTGTAAACAGTTTGATGTGATGATCTTGTACGCCGTGTCACATGTTCAGCACACTTCCACAGTGACCAGAATCTTCTTAAAATCGTATTTTTATTGTATTCATCTCAGGAAAGCAATCATGTGTACCACAGTTGTTATTTTGTATAACTCAGTCAGTATGTAAAAAATAAAATAGAAATTTTCAAGTTTAAACATGAGTTTATATTACATTTTAAGGTTGATGTTTATGTGATGAAGTTTTTTACAACTTAAAAAGCATCATACGTTGTGACAGTTAATTTTACTAAATATTGATAAAAAACAAACTTAATCTACAGAAATCAAGCGTTTGGTTACATTTAATAATTTGCATACAGATTGATTTTGCTTTTGTAAAACAGCCGGTTTGGAGGACTGGATCTATTTAATAATAAATCTCATTTTATTTAGTTTGCTTGCTTAAAATGCATTATTATTTTTGAATATAAATTAAAATAGCTGATTATCAAGCTATAATTATGATTTCATTGTTTTATTGATTAACCCTTTGGTATTGTTTTGAGTCACACTTGTGTTGTCCGCAGTGAAGTCACCGAACACCTGAAATTTTACTTTTTCCCCCCAGTAAAACCATGTAATATATTTTTGTTCAATGATATTTTTTTTCTATTTTGCACTCCTTATATTTCAGAGTGTTACCCCTTCATTGCTGTGCACTTTTTCTGCATCATGGCTGATTTGTAGAATGCAAAGAATCTGTATTTTTGCCTATTTCCCAATAATTTCTTATGGCGGTCATGTTTGACCGTGGACATAAGTGCAAATTTTTTTTTACAAACATTTAGCTTTTTCTAAATGTCAGAGTTTCGTACCATTCCAATGAAGCAGCAATTTATTTTTTTTGTCTAATATGACCAGACAACACCAGAGGCTTAATACAAAATTTCGATAAATTTTTACATTTTCCTCATAATATCATTTTGTACTATTATATTAAAGGGATAGCTCACCCAAAAATTCAAAGGTTGTCATTACTTACTCACCCTAAAGTTGTTCCAAACCTGTATGAGTTTATTTCTTCTGTTGAACACAACAGAAGAAATAGAAGATATTTTATAATAGAAGAAGAAATAGAAGATATTTTATAATAGAAGAAGAAATAGAAGATATTTTAAAATATGTTTGTAATCACACAGTTGACGGTAGCCATTTACTTCCATAGTAGGAAAAAAAATACTATGGAAGTCAATGGGTGCCATCAACTGTCTTGTTATCCACATTCTTCAAATATCTTCTTTTGTGTTCAACAGAAGAAAGAAACTCATACAGGTTTGGAACAACTTGAGGATGAGTAAATGATGATGGAATTAAAAAAAATTTGGTGAACTATCCCTTTAATTAAACTTGCATTATCCCCCGCCTGTCCAGCTGGTGGCGCCATCATGTAGCGCGAATATACTTGCACTGTCGGAGAAGGAAAGTATGACAGCGTTCTAGTGCAGCCTTCAAGCTAAAGTCATCCAGTCTGCTGTCATCATGTCTGAGAAAGAGATCGGCCAAAAGTGGGATCGCTGCCTCGCAGACTGCGCTATTAAAGTCGGTAAGGATTGGTTTCATTTAATAATCTGCTTAATTCACGGCAGGGGGTCAAGTCCGTGTAGGGCACTCAGGTCATTGATAAGATAAGACGCTCACTCGCACATCGGATTTGACTCACGTTGTGAACTTAATAACTAGACGGCGGTTCACCCATAAATCCTGTCTAAGTTTGTAACTCGTTATGTTTTGAGAGTGTGTTAGCCTTTGAGAACTAATGTTTTTGTGATGTATTAAAAGAATGACTAACGTTACTAGGACCGCCTTCTACTAATCTCGTCATTGTTTAGATACTATGGCAGTGACATACTACTAGTACTATGGATAGTTACCGTAGTATTTTGGACATGATACAATGGTATATCCATGGTTTGAAGCGTTTTGGACTGTTTTTCTATATTATCATAGTGTTTTCTTAAAATACAATGCAAAGTACCATGGTATTGCAATCTTAACACCATCACAGTGCCACAGGCAAGAGTAATTTTGTATTATATTGGTTTTCTCTTGTAGGTACCGGGCTGGGTCTAGGAATTGTGTTCTCTGTTGTATTCTTCAAGCGTAAGTATTTTATACTATACCTTGTGTAAACCTTGTGTAAATCTTCATCCATCGTAATATATCAAGATGTTTTTGCAGGCCGGACGTCACCCATTGCCTTGGGTACGGGACTGGGTCTTGGCATGGCGTATTCCAACTGCCAGAATGACTTCAGGTCACATTATGTACTGCACAGTAAAGTTGCTAAGGTTTGTGTTTTTGATTTCTAGAAACCATCAAATCTCACCATTACCTTTGCAGTTCATGTCCATGCGGCAAAAACACAGTTTGCATTGGAGACCTTGGGCTCATTTGTCAAAACACGCATAGAACTAGAGATCACAGAGTTGGTCAGATTACTATTCAGGACCACCTCTATAAGTGTGCCAAATTTGATCATTTTCCTATAAGTATTATCCATGGCAGATGAATTATTAATATGGAGTGCAAATAGCCCACCTTGTTGGCTGAGGCTGTTTACATTAATGCCAGACAAAACTACGGAAGACACTGGATTGTCCACAGTAACAATAGTGTAGGGTTAAGGACGGTGCATGGCAGAAAGTTTCGACCCAAATCAACCCGAGTTAGAATCCTTCTTTTGCCGAACTCGCTCTACTCCATTTTCCCATCACATATCAGATCGGAAAGGCTTTTATTTTCACGAAAAATGAAGAAAACATTTGAAAAGTGGAAATAAAGTGTCTAACGTGTTTAATTATAAAGTATTTATTGGTTGGTTATTGTCCCAATAAGGCGATATTCATTTCTTAATTTTAATAAATATAATCATTTACACTCTGTTATTATTGTATACCGTTTAATCTACAACAACACTGAGGTGCAAATACTATCTGCCAATATTCATATATATAACTATTTAACTAACTGGCAAAGAAAATACTGATATTTTACATAGTGTAAATAGAATCTTTTGCTATTTAAACTTGGTGTATATTACATTATAATGTATTGTTGTTATAAGAAGAATAAAACTAACACACACTTTCAGTGCTTGGTCCCTAATTATCCTAAATTTCGATGTCCTGTTTTGTTAATATTTTGAATTGGATTTTATTTGTCTGTTTTCATTGTAATTTGTTAAAGTTTTAGTCACTTTGTTGTATGTTTTTGTCATTTTTCTTTATAATTGTCTGTTTGTAGTTTTTAATTCAGTTTTTTATTTTAGTACTTCAACTTAAACTAAATGAAAATGGGAAATGTTTCCTTGGCAAACAGCTAGCTTCATGTTTTTTATTTGTTTAGGTTAATAATAATTATAACACTGACAAAAAAGGTACTTTTGCCCATCTAATTATTTGTTCAATTATGTTCAGTTGGTACAATGTGTTTTTAAAATGAAATCATTAAAGAAATTCACTGGATATGAACACGGCATGTTATGTGACAGTGTAATTAATACACAATACAAATTTTATTTCTATTGCACATTTACAACAACTGCCGTTTACCAAAGTGCTTTCCTGCATAATTAATACAACAAAAGCAATTACATAGTCACACACACACTAAATGAAACCCTGTTCACCCTAATCAGTTCTGAAAACCATACCAAAAATCTACAACTAACAGCAAACTAGACTTTTGAGTTATGAATATTTGTATACACGCAGATGATCACGGTACACACTTGCTTTGTTTAAAATCACCTGAGAATCAAGTCATCTAATGTACCAATGCATAAAGTTTGTATGTATGCTTTTCTTTGGTGGACTGTATGTGCTCTCGTTCACATCAGTTTCTACACGCTGATTTGTTTGTCACCTTTAACATAAGATCATATGCATTGAATCTCAAGACATTTGAATATCAGTTGAAGTGTTTAAAATCCTGACAGCTGTTTTCTCTTCTCTTTCAGGAGCAGTAGAGTTGCATCAGTTATGGATTCTGTCATCTGCCTTTTCTTATTTGAAGCCTGACTGCTTTGTCACTCTGGTTGTCTTTCTCTCTCCATAATATATATGTTCTTGTACAGGACAGTCTGTGGTTATTTAATAAAATGATAAAGGAGATTTGAAGTTTGCAAAGGATGACATGAATGTGATTTTCTTTTTCTCTTTAATTTAGATATTTTAAAAAAATGACCCTACAGTATCATTTTAAAAATCAGTGATAGCAACCCACATTGTCATCTGGCTTTTGACCCAGGCCAAGATGATTTTTGGCAACCACGCAGAAATAGTGCACTTATGCTTAAAGCAAAAAACATGCTTTGTGTCCAGAACAGGGTTGGCATGGTGACAGTTCTCCAGTTGTGAAGTACAAGCATACATTTTTTTTTAAATTCTGCTGTGCTATTAATAATTGCATAATTGTTTCCTTTTATCCAAAGGTAGAACTACATATCGAAATAAGTTCCCATGCATTGTTCAGAATTAAGTCTTTAGAGAATGGTTGCAAGGCATGTTTATGCTCATAAAATTACCCATATTAAATTAAATGTATCGTCTCTTGCATTTATCAAAGGTATTCACAACTGTACAACAGTTTAGGTAGACCGTCTTTTCAGCTTCTCTTTTGGAATAAACTTTAATTTCAAAAACCCTTTGATTCTTTCTCAGTTCTAATTCTCAGATCATCAACAACATTACAAATGTCCATTCAAACATACAAATTAAGCACTATAGCATGCAGTTGATTACTACAGAACACAATCAGTTTGTAAAAAGAAAAACATTATGCATTTAGAAGTGTATGACCAATGAATGACTCGTGTACAATCTCACAGTTTGCAAAAAAAAAAAAATTATAGATTTATAAGATACAGGAAAGAAAAAACATTCTTGTAAAATAACATTTGAATTATCAACAATCACAATTTTTTTTTGCACACATTTACATAAGCCTTTTGTAAGATGTTAAATGCATGCTTCAATTAACCCTTGGCTGTGAATGTGCATGAAGTCACATTAAGAGCACAATACTTAGACACGCTTTATGCCCAGCGGCAGAGTGCGGATCCTGCAGGCACCCTGAAGTGGACGATACAGGGATTAGGAGGGCAAAAGGAACAGCAAAGACGCCAACACAGTTAACTCTAGTGCACTCGTCGGCACCCTTTTACTCAATTACAGCCACACAATTACTGAATAAAGAACGTTGATCTCATAAAAATGCATAGAAAGCTAAAAGAAATCCACCTCGACGGGAAGAACCGGACCGAGAGATAAGTTTGTTTTTTAATTCACTCATCTAAAAATATCTAAATGGTAGTCTTGCTCTTGTAACACTCCCTCTCTTTCTCACACACTCTTGTACTGAAACCCACCTCTCAGTTGCCCTCCCCCAAAGAGTGTCATCATGACACGTAGCTTTGAAATACTCTGACAGGCACAGAATTGCTCATACCGGTGCTAAGCATTGAAGAAGCCAGACTATGGACAAGGAAATGTGTCATTTTATTGCTTTGCTCATCTCATGTTAACAAATGGAGTGATGGCAGCTGAATATCCTCGCACTGATGTGACTGAGGCGCACAGAGGGAGTGAAATCACCAACCTTGCCAAAGGGAAAGATGGAAAGGATTACTATAAACGGGACATCTTGATCTTTTTCACCACCTGAGGTGGTCTGCATTGGATTCAGTGACCCGCAGATCAACTGTTTCACATTCAGCAACACTCTCTCAATGCACTTGAAAAACCCTGGATGTGTGTTCGCTTCATCGAGACCTGAGGAAGCGCACACAGTCCTATTCAACTCTTCGATGATGAGTGGCTCACCTATCCCTCGAGTAGAGGCAGCATCAGGTGCAGATCCCTGGACCGCTCACAGGAGCTTCAATGACAGCGGTACTATCGGTGATGGTTGGAGCATTAGTGGCAGCGGTCCCTGGCTTCTCGCAGTCATGCTTTCCCTCATAATTCTGGTGACAGCTTGTGGGAACATTTTGTTGATTGCCTTGGTGTTCGCACATCGGTCGCTGCGCTGCACCTCCAATTGCTTCCTGGTGTCCCTCTTTCTGTCAGACTTGATGGTGGCTCTGGTCGTGATGCCTCCTGCTATGCTCAACGTGCTGTGTGGGACCTGGGTGCTGGCGCCTGGGTTCTGCCCCGTCTGGCTTTGCTTCGACGTGATGTGCTGTAGTGCTTCCATTCTCAACTTGTGTGTCATCAGTCTGGACCGCTACCTCCTCATTATCTCTCCATTGCGATACAAACAGCACATGACCCCGCCCCGTGCCTTGCTGCTGGTGGGCGGGGCTTGGGGGTTGGCAGCGCTTACGTCTTTCCTGCCAATCAAGATGGACTGGCACAGCCTGGGTCGCGTGCAAGACCTTTCCGAGCACTATCCCGCCAACGCCACAGTCTCGCCGTTGAGTTCCTTCTATCCGTCTTCATACTTCCAGCTTTCCACGTCAGGGACGCCGTCCACACAGTGCCGCCTGCGGGTGACTCTCCCCTTCGCCCTCGTGGCGACCTTTCTCACCTTCTTCTTGCCCTCTACGGCCATCTGTTTCACCTACTGCCGGATCCTGTTGGCGGCCAGAAGACAGGCACGACAGGTGGAGGCACTTACTCATCCTCCTTACCCACATCACTCACATGGTGAACCATCTCATCCTCCGTCTCCCGGTCACGCTGTGCATGATGGAGACGACTACAGCCATCAGGAGCCACCCGTGCTGCGGCATGGTCCGGTGAGAAGTCCTGAGTCAGAGAAAAAAATGCAACAGGAATTCAATTTGTGAAGTAGCAAGTACCTAAAAAAAAAAAAAGTTATTAGATGTTATTATTGTTTTGTGTATGTGTGTAAATTCTTGCTGTGAACTCTCGACAAACTAAGCGACTTGGAGTGTATGCAATCTCAAGCTGTTTCGGCCTATTGTTCATTCACAAACCCAACACTTAGGCAAGTGAAGGCTGTGCCATTGCTGGCAATGCATTGTGTAGAGAGGGTGTATTGAAATACTTGTACCTTAAACACAAAAAGAAAGGTGAAAGATGTAGCAGAAAAGGACATTTTGATTTTAAGGACTAGAACAGAAAGTAAAGAGAGACGTTCAAAGATGAGGAAGTGCGAAAAGGGAGGGTAGAACTTTAAGACAATAGCAAAGACCTTGTGAAGCACTCTCACTTTTTAAAATCTTTCAACTGAGAGAGGGAAATAAATAAATAATTACCCCAGGCCAAGGTAACATTATTTCCCATCTCTTGGCAGGCGAATCACTGTGAAATCTCTATGAATATATTCTTCTCTCTCTCCCCATCTCTTGTTCTCAGTTGTCGGTGAACAGCGAGCGCAGACTGGCACACAGGCAAAGGAAGAGAGCTCTGAAAGCCAGCCTAACCCTAGGAGTGCTCCTGGGTCTCTTCTTCAGTGCCTGGCTTCCCTTTTTTATCACCAACATGGCACAGGTCAGTCCACAAATCACACTTAAAGAAACATCTCATTCACGTTGAGAGTGAACCCTACCTTGACCTTAACAACCACGCAACAAAAAACGGAATGGGTGGCAAATTAATTGCAATATGACAAATTGACAAAGAGAAATGTTCCTATTTAGTTGAGCAATTATTCCCGAGCTTGCTCTCAAGTTGTCAACGATCCTGTCCCCCCATCTGTGTCCCTCACTTTGCTCAGATTTTGAGCTTCTGGGCAAGCCTGTCTCTAGCCCTCCTTCACACACAATATGGTGTGTGAATAGCACTCCATCTTTGTCTCTTACTCTCACTTTCTTCATTCGTGGCATCCCGACATCCTCTTCCGATGAACTAGACATCTTTGACCTTTTCCACCACTTTGGTATTGAGTCTCAACCACATTCTGTATTCACGTTGTGATCTAAGACCTTTTATTCTGTACATACAGGCAGTGTGTGAGTGCATACCACCTTCCTTCTTCGACGCCATCACCTGGTTGGGCTACTGTAACAGCACCATGAACCCAATTATATATCCAATGTTCATGAGGGATTTCAAGAGGGCTTTGGCACGGCTTCTACCCTGCTGTTCTTCATCTCAAGCCCCTCGTAGGCCATCACTGCCACTTTCCCTTTCTCTGCGCAACTCAGGAGAACCGCAACTGCCCACCGAACCCCCCTCCCTCGTGTCTGACCCGCCTCAACTCCCGGCGACGGCCACGGACGCCGTTAACCTTCTCGACGCTGAACACGCCGGGATCGACCTGCCTCTGCTGCTGCCCAACCAGGTCGATGCGCTGGACGATTGATACACCGACTGAGACAACAAAAAATGCAATATATACTGTGGACTGCAAGATGTGTGACTTATAGGTTTGTGAGAAAATGTGTTAAAACATACCGTGCTAAAAAAATCAATGGGATATGTGTTAATGGGTTAGTCGTGCATAAACTGGGAGGCTGCATCGTTCCTTAAGGCAGATCACAGAGATTGTACATTTAGTACGGTCTCAACACGCATCCCGCTTCATTCATTACCATAACAACCAAAACAACAGATGGATAAAGCAGACGAGAGCGAAAGAAATCTCACTAATACCTCACACAATGTCAAGTGGGTTGTCTGTGGAGCTGTAATTCACATCTTAATTAAACAACAAACCCCTTTTAATGAAGGGGGCAAATGGTATACACAGAATACTGACAGTTTTCACATAGTAGTTTATCACAAATCACATTCAGCAGTGTTGATATTAATTACAGATGATATCCAGTAATAACTTAATGAGATTATTAGGCGATTCCAGACTTGCAAAAAGCCAAGGTTCCAGTTGGTTCTAGCTTATATTGCTATTTTATATTCTGGGTGGTGTCTAGATGGTAACCCTTCTTCTGCTAAAAGTCTCACATGCGACCTTCAAACACTGTGTTAATTCGAGTCCCCAACCCTCATCTTGGTAGCAGCAAATGTGACTCCATGGAGAGTTTCTCGGAGCGAGGTTTACCATCTAGACCTGACCCACATTCTGTGAGTGAACCTTGAAAATGTCATCTAGGCTCAGAACAATCAGGTTTGCCATTGGTTAACTGGTTCTGTGCTCCAGTGTGCGATTGGTTGGTTGTGTTTGTGTGTTCAGCAGTCCAGTTCGTGTCGTCCCAGTCCCATGACGTGTGCTCAAAGTCTGTGTTACTTTCATTGTCTCTGTCTATTTTGCATTGGTCCTGAGATGGTTCAACATGGTTCTCGCCTCCAAGAGCACACTGTGAATGAGCATTACCATGACAGGATTCAAGGATGCCATCACATTCACTGATGGAATCCAGTAAATCGGATATATCAGGGATATCCCAGCCATTCTCAGAGTCCTTCCTCTCGTATTGATCTACATTTGATGATGGGACATCTAAAATATCTTTGTTTGAAATGTCCATGGATGGTTCCCCTTTGACTCTGCTCTGACCAGCTGATTCTGGAGTGCCTGGTTTTTCCTCAGATAAATGAACAAGCTGTAATTTGCTACTCATGTCTCCAGCCTCTTCCCTAGTAGGAACCCCCACTGCTACTAGGATGGTGTCCATCTGACGCATGTAGTCCAGGTGTCCTTTTACCTAAAAGTTACATAGTCCAGAACATAGTCAGTATTTAAAAAGCAAGCCAAAAATTAATTTTTACAGTGCTTGCAATCCATTACTATATCAATTTTCAGAATAAAATCCCGCTTTGGCGCATAACTCAGGTGTGCATGATACCTCGCATCACACAATGTATGCTATTACTGTTCCAAGCGGTCAAATTTGAGTTTTATTTTATGCCAGGTGAAATAAACTCCCTCAGACTTGAAAAAAAAAAGCCAGAACCAACATATAGAGACTCAGGGGTGGAATCTTTTGATTTAGACCAGTAAGTAAAAGCCGTATTTGATTTTTCACAAGTAAAAAGGGGAATACAATGAACAGTCTATTCAGTGGGTAGTCATGTTTTTAACTTTAGCTGATTGACATGGGAAAATAGCTCAAATTTAACACAACATCTAAAAAACACTAATAATTTAATTCTTAGGTGTCCCATCAATTTTTTTCTTATGAACGTTATACTTTTATGAAAATTAAGACTTTATTTTGATAATCTCCCATTGACTAATTTCCACCATTTGGTGTCACTGCAATTTTTGCATACTGAACTGGTCTATTTAATTGATTTATTTAACTATAGCTGCCTTGACATTATGTAACATCTGCTGAGTTTTTATATAAAGATTAAAGCGGTTCTGATAAACCTAAATTAGTCCTGAAAACTGTAACACTATTCTAGCGCTGCCTTACAAGCACTGGTATTTATTTCAGGAAACTAAGCTAATTTAATTGCTTATAAACAGTTCTTAACATGCCGAATGAAGGTGCAATTCTTCACATGCCTCACCAATACCTTGCCATATCTTCTGCCAATTTATCTAAGCTGTATATTTTTTTATTTTTTTTTTCATGAATAACTTCTTTCACAAAGATACCACAAGCATGTCTTTTTATGTCCTGGCTTAAGGCCGATGTGACGCAACCTGTATTCTGTGTCTGTGAGATAAGGAATATCTCATATTCAGTCCTTTGTCTACAATACATCACACGGATGGCGGGCCTGACGACCTCTGTCGAGATGTACAGACATTCTGTTGCTCTGTCTAACTTAGAAGGGATTGTTATGAATGGATCATTTTAGGTTGAAGTGTCTTTATCTTTTTACATTTGTGCATTGCATAAAATGACACATTTTTGAGTCTTTTTTTATGAGGTAACAGCGCTGAATATCAACGAGGAACTTCCTGCCACAGTAATTACAGTAATTGTAGTCTTTTGCGGCTGACAATTTAACAATGCCCTTTCTATTAATATAAGGGGGTATTTAATGCAAAAAGCATTAAATCACTTTTGTCTATAAAAAAGTACCTTTCAGTTGGTTAAGGTTTGAAGCCATCTGAAGGAAATTAAACTTTGACTCTACGCTAATGTAATGACTTGAAGTTGTGTTGAATAGTTACTCTCACAGCCAGTAAATTGAATGAGAATCTTAATGCATCTCACAGACACCAAGAACATTTAAAACGAACATCAGGGATGCAATACTCAATGCACACACGCATTTGCTTACCACTGATGACAGATCCACATTGATTATTTTGCGGTCTTGCGAATTGATTGGCTGGAGCCCAGCAACAGACAGCTGGACAGATGAACTCCTATACAGGAATCCAAGAAGCCAATCCCCTCTAAACCAATAATGACAAAAATAAAGAAATGTGGTTAAAACAATAAAATCGCAATCTTTAAATTTGTTTGGAGTTAACATTGAGACATTGTTACTTTTTATTAAATAAATAAAGTGTCAATTCTAAATATTCATGCATGGCCTAAAATGACTGCAATTTGTTAAATACTAATTTCAATTTGATATGTAAATTAATTACCCATTACCACATCTAATTTATAATTAAACATATGTAATAATCTAAAAAGTTACCTTCAGCCCTTTTCTGGTTGCCTAGTATGATTTCAGCATTTAGAGGCACTAGTTGGCAAATTGGTTTTCTTGCATTGATGAAGACTATGTGGTAATTTTATTCCCATCTGAACTGATGTCATAAGCAGAAAATCTGGCATAATGAGCTTACTGAATGATATTGCACAAACACTACTGTTCACAGGTCAGTAAGATTTTTTTAAAATAAATTTATACTTCAATTTAATGCATCCTTGCTGAATTAATCAAACGTGACAGTAAATACATTTATAATGTTACAAAATATTTCTATTTTAAATAAATGCTGTTCATCAAAAAATCCTGAAAAAAATGTATCACTGTTTCCACAAAAATATGAAGCAAACAGCAAAACTGTTTTCAATATTGATAATATTAAAGAAATGCAGCAAATCAACATAGAACGATTTCTGAAGGATCATGTGACACTGAAGACTGGAGTAATGATGACTTTGCTTCACAGGAATAAATGACATTTTAAAATATGTTCAAACAGAGAACAGTTCTTTTAAATTGTAATATTATTTTAAAAACATTTTGTATGAGAGAAAAAGAGAGTTCATTTTGGTAAACTGTTAAAATTATAATCATAACGGCAAATGTTAATACCTTAGAAGTAGGGATGTCCGGATCAGGTTTTTTGTGCCCCTGATCCGAGTCAATGAATGTTGAGTATCTGCCGATCCGATACAAGTATATATATTGAGTATTGACTTTGGTAGATGTACAATGGTACGTTACAATGGTAGACATTGTAAACAGACTGCATGGTCACAATTATGAGTTTGGAACTACTGATATAAACTTCTTGTATTTTATTTGTACAATAAGTAGAATAATTTGAACAAAGGGGGGAAACAAGTTGATTTAAGGTTAGAAAGCATGACGCTCGCGGTGTCAGAATGCCATCTGTTAGTCAAGTCCGAAGCAAGATGCCACGCAGTCTCATATAGTCTGACGGAAGATTAAAAAAATTGTAAATAAATGACTTTGAGTGATTCCTTACTAAAGTGAGCATCAAATGCTAAACATGGAGCCTTGAACTTGGGAGTGAGGCGCTAGAACAGACCACGTTGGTTCACACACACACACACACATTTGAGCTTTTTCTTTTCCTTTTAATGGAGGTCGCCAGTTGGCAGAACCGGCATGACAGCTGATGTACCGTAAAACTTCAAATAGTAGCCAGGGCTTTTATTTTCCCAAATCGTCGAACTGCACCGGCTTGTATTTGAGACAGGCGTCTATATGAGACAGGCCTTTATAATTTAGTGTTGAGATGTTGTTCATTGAGTGTATAGGCCTGTCTCTAATCTCTAAAAATCTCCAAATGCTCCACGTGAAACTGCGGTCTTCCGACCTTTAACTATCGCGTCAATTGATTTTGATTAATATGCGCGAGGGAGAGAGAGCAAGACAGCGCTCGTGTTGTTTGAAGACGTGAGAGTGCGCGCGCGCGGCCGGGGCGCTCCCTCTCTCTCTCACTGCTCGTAAACGCGCTCTGTCAGGCGCAGCAGTTATTCTATTCTACATCACTCATCGATCAAAAAAGGCTTTGGAGGGACAAAAAATTTGCTTTGGCAGCCGCCAAATAGCGGACGATCTGACGGGTTTTAGAAGATTAAATACAACCCGAAACTAAAAAACAGACCCGGCCTCTATTTGAGACCGGCCTTTATTTACCCAAACCTGCAGCCACACCAGGCGTGTAAAAGAGAAAGGCGTCTATTTGGGACTCGGCTATTATTTGAAGTTTTACGGTAAATGGATCGGGCTTAGGATAGCCGATACCGATCAGTAAAAAAGAAAATGCTTCATCGGCCCCGATCCCGATTCTTAAATTCAATCAGGACATCCCTACTTATAAGTAACACTAATAGTGTCTTACCTGCAATATCCATTAACAATCTTCCCCGCCACTACCCTGGAGAGTCTCTTCCATGCTTTCTCGGAGCCGTCCACAGGGGCCCCCAGGAGCACCACATCTTCCACCACACCTTCACTACCTGCCCGATAATAAGAGAAAGAATGTCTTTCAACCGACTCCATGCGAACAGATTCTCATTTACAGCCTCACACCTCTCCGATTTCATCTTTCATTAGGCTGATAAAGAGAAAATGATTCAGTCTGGCTTGCAGGAAATTTGTCCACGTCCAGCTCTCTCAAGTCGACACTTCTTCAGAAGCAAGGTCTTAAAAAGACAAAAGGATGTTCCCTCATCTCTCACCCACTCCGTACAAAGAATAGAAAGCCTACCTTGATCATTAGCGAGCTCTTCTAGGCAGAAGTATATGACACGAGCTCCAAGGCTAAAGCCAATTAGATTGACAGGGCGCTTTCCCTGCACAAAGATGAAAAAAGAAAGATAATTAAAATTAATATGCCAGGTTTATCCTATTAATTTAATTAGTTTTAACATTTCTAGCAGTATATATCTATCATATTTGATACGTACATTTCTAAGGCCTCTTAATAATCATCAACATGATCAAAACTTTGCTGAAAAACCTGTTGCACTACATTACATGCATTCTGTAATCTGATTGACAGTTTATACTTTTTTAGCATGTAGAAGGCCTAAAAAAGCCAACCTTTAGGTCGTGATACACAAGTGTTTTTGCAAAGTAAACATAAAAATAACTTAAATCGTTCCAATAATAAAGTGATTATCCATACATCATTTTTTAAGAAAAATCATGTTATAATGCGAGTATCAAATATGATCCATCAGGCTTTTGAGAAATGTTGATTTGTTCATTATTGTATTACATTGCATTATATGTTTCGCCTCCACAATAAAAACTACAGAGCTTTGATCATAAAAATAATCATTTAAATACTAAAACGTATTATTGGGAGATATAGTGATTGATATTTATATGCAAGTATTCTGCTACAGTATACTGTTATAAAGATTAACATTAAAAGCTATCAGAATTTCAATGTACTTTTCTGCCCAATAAATATCAGCAACTGCACCAAATTGCATATTTTTGCTCAGTTTTGATCTCTGAATAAAATTGAGGTGTTTTTCTTCCTTGCTTATTAGATCCATATTCTCCTATATCATACTATATGAATCATAAAGGCCAATCAAATATGATATTCAACAAAAAAAAACATGCAAATGGTTTTTTGATTTTTTTGTCTAAGGGTTTAATTTTTATTTCAAACTCAGGATTTGCAGGGTTAATTAGTATGCTGAAAGCATGCTGTTACCTTCGAGGTTAAAGTCCCCCTGTGGTGAAAATCAAGCTTTGAATGTTGTTTATATGTGGTGTTTTTAATATGCTTTCAGTTTCATATTAAGTCAACACCATTGCTGAGTATTTTCTTCTTAAAACTGCAGTAAACCAAACACAGTCTTAAATTTTTTGACGTCACAAACTACCAATCAGATCAACGTGTGATCGTCAACGAGTGGATCTCTGAGCTGGTGTGAGTGAGTGGAGGCGGGGCTCATTTGCATATTCATTGAACCACGTATTCTATATGAGGCAAGGGTGTCGAGTTACATTCAAGCTATTTTAAGGCATGAATCATTTTTCTTTTCAAGGACAAAACTTTTAAATATGTCATTTTGGTGATCAAAGATGAGTTTTAAGGGAGACAATTATTGACTACAGGGGGACTTTAAATAATAAATGAAAACTGATCCCCTTTAAAGCATCAATTCTTCAGCTACATACATACACACAAACGTCTTTGGATGTTGCACCATATGTCACACTGTTTTTGAGCATCCTGACCATGAGCATTGCATTTTTATGGTTTTACACATCTTACTAAAACTTGGCATGTCATGCAGTTACAATAGAAGTCAATAGGGCAAGCGTTCAATGTACTGTAAGCGCATTTCTGCTCACACATTTTGTTTCTAAGAGACGAGTCTAAACGGCTGTCTATCATAGTTGACTAATTGACATAATTGAATGTGACCTGTAACATTCCTTGAATTAGTCATTACAAGTTGTGCTGAACTGAAAAGATCAAATACTAATGCAGAATCTAGAAGGACTCATTGTCTGGACTCTGACCTGCTGTCGGCTCCGGAGCACCTGTGCGAGGTGTTTCCCCACCTCCGCTGAGCGACTCAGACACACTCCCCAGGGGTTGTCGATCACACTGGCCACAGCCAGCAGAGAGGCAGGCCATGTCAGAGCGGTTACTATGCCTGAGCATGAACAAGACAATCAGCAATGAGGTTATTCTGGACACCGTACAGCAATGTGTGACAAATCATTATTTCATTATGCTACAATTAAATGGAGGAATTTGGAGGTATTCTCAATAAACAGGGTATAACATTTACTTTGTTGACTGTCAACCTCAGGAGGACAAACAAAATATTATACAAGCTGGTTTATTTCATATTCTTTTTTTTTTTTTGGAAGCATGATAGGTCCTTTACATGCAATCTGCAAGCAATCATATCACTACCACATGGCACAAGCTGATTGGCCTCTGCTGATCCTGCAGTGCTCAACATTTAAATAGTCTGGTTCATTGTTGGCTGTAAGCTTGTCCTGAAGAGTTCCTCTGAACCCCTCCACCTCCCCCAGCTCCACCTGTCTAGATCTGCTACAGGATTTATGTATGTCTATTTATGCAGCAGCAGCATTTATCACATCCTCAGGGGATATATATCAGGGGTGTGCGGTCCATATAAGCTGTGAATGCTCTGCATATCACAGGAATACATTTAATTTTGAAATGTATTAAAATAGAAAACAGTTATTTTAAATTGTAAATAATATTTCACAATATTACTGTTTTTTTTGTTTGTATTTTAATCAAATAAATGCAGCTTTGGTGAGTATAAGAAACTTCTTTTAAAAACATTTTAAAAATCGTACCGATCCCAAACTTTTGAACGGCAATATATATATATATATATACACACTCACCTAAAGGATTATTAGGAACACCTGTTCAATTTCTCATTAATGCAATTATCTAATCAACCAATCATATGGCAGTTGCTTCAATGCATTTAGGGGTGTGGTCCTGGTCAAGACAATCTCCTGAACTCCAAACTGAATGTCAGAATGGGAAAGAAAGGTGATTTAAGCAATTTTGCTTAAATCGGTCTGAGTATTTCACAATCTGCTCAGTTACTGGGATTTTCACGCACAACCATTTCTAGGGTTTACAGAGAATGGTGTGAAAAGGGAAAAACATCCAGTATGCGGCAGTCCTGTGGGCGAAAATGCCTTGTTGATGCTAGAGGTCAGAGGAGAATGGGCCGACTGATTCAAGCTGATAGAAGAGCAACTTTGACTGAAATAACCACTCATTACAACCAAGGTATGCAGCAAAGCATTTGTGAAGCCACAACGCGCACAACCTTGAGGCGGATGGGCTACAACAGCAGAAGACCCCACCGGGTACCACTCATCTCCACTACAAATAGGAAAAAGAGGCTACAATTTGCAAGAGCTCACCAAAATTGGACAATTGAAGACTGGAAAAATGTTGCCTGGTCTAATGAGTCTCGATTTCTGTTTAGACATTCAGATGGTAGAGTCAGAATTTGGTGTAAACAGAATGAGAACATGGATCCATCATGCCTTGTTACCACTGTGCAGGCTGCTGGTGGTGGTGTAATGGTGTGGGGGATGTTTTCTTGGCACACTTTAGGCCCCTTAGTGCCAATTGGGCATCGTTTAAATGCCACGGCCTACCTGAGCATTGTTTCTGACCATGTCCATCCCTTTATGGCCACCATGTACCCATCCTCTGATGGCTACTTCCAGCAGGATAATGCACCATGTCACAAAGCTCGAATCATTTCAAATTGGCTTCTTGAACATGACAATGAGTTCACTGTACTAAAATGGCCCCCACAGTCACCAGATCTCAACCCAATAGAGCATCTTTGGGATGTAAACGGGAGCTTCGTGCCCTGGATGTGCATCCCACAAATCTCCATCAACTGCAAGATGCTATCCTATCAATATGGGCCAACATTTCTAAAGAATGCTTTCAGCACCTTGTTGAATCAATGCCACGTAGAATTAAGGCAGTTCTGAAGGCGAAAGGGGGTCAAACACAGTATTAGTATGGTGTTCCTAATAATCCTTTAGGTCAGTGTATATATACTGTATATATACACTCACCGGCCACTTTATTAGGTACACCTGTCCAACTGCTCGTTAACACTTAATTTCTAAGCAGCCAATCACATGGCGGCAATTCAGTGCATTTAGGCATGTAGACATGGTCAAGACAATCTCCTGCAGTTCAAACCGAGCATCAGTATGGGGAAGAAAGTTGATTTAAGTGACTTTGAACGTGGCATGATTGTTGGTGCCAGAAGGGCTGGTCTGAGTATTTCAGAAACTGCTAATCTACTGGGATTTTCACGCACAACCATCTCTAGGGTTTACAGAGAATGGTCCGAAAAAGAAAAAACATCCAGTGAGCGGCAGTTCTGTGGGCGGAAATGCCTTGTTGATGCCAGAGGTCAGAGGAGAATGGCCAGACTGGTTCGAGCTGATAGAAGGGCAACAGTGACTGAAATAACCACTTGTTACAACCGAGGTACGCAGCAAAGCATTTGTGAAGCCACAACACGCACAACCTTGAGGCGGATGGGCTACAACAGCAGAAGACTCCACCGGGTACCACTCATCTCCACTACAAATAGGAAAAAGAGGCTACAATTTGCAAGAGCTCACCAAAATTGAACAGTTGAAGACTGGAAAAATGTTGCCTGGTCTGATGAGTCTCGATTTCTGTTGAGACATTCAGATGTTAGAGTCAGAATTTGGCGTAAACAGAATGAGAACATGGAACCATCATGCCTTGTTACCACTGTGCAGGGTGGTGGTGGTGGTGTAATGGTGTGGGGGATGTTTTCCTGGCACACTTTAGGCCCCTTAGTGCCAATTGGGCATCGTTTAAATGCCACGGCCTACCTGAGCATTGTTTCTGACCATGTCCATCCCTTTATGGCCACCATGTACCCATCCTCTGATGGCGACTTCCACCATGTCACAAAGCTCTAATCATTTCAAATTGGTTTCTTGAACATGACAATGAGTTCACTGTACTAAAATGGCCTCCACAGTCACCAGATCTCAACCCAATAGAGCATCTTTGGGATGTGGTGGAACTGGAGATTCGCATCATGGATGTGCAGCCGACAAATCTGCGGCAACTGTGTGATGCCATCATGTCAATATGGACCAAACTCCCTGAGGAATGCTTCCAGCACCTTGTTGAATCTATGCCACGAAGAATTGAGGCAGTTCTGAAGGCAAAAGGGGGTCCAACCCGTTACTAGCATGGGGTACCTAATAAAGTGGCCGGTGAGTGTGTATATATATATATATATATAAAGCAGAATGGATAACATTTTCACATTGAGTATGAGAGGTTCTGGGTTCTAAGCATTTGAATAATAATAAAAAAAAAAATCATTTTATGATTCTACTAGAATGCACAGCAAAAAGACTGAAGAGTGAGTCTGAAAGTATATGTGAGAAATGCAATGGCCACTCAACCAAACAATATAAATTCCGGCATTGGATTGTCATTCATGATAACACACACATGAAAGAAACAGAAATTCCAACTTGACTATTAAGGCGATGATAGACAGGGCAACTTTTTGAGCAATGTTGCTGGGCAATCTTCCTCTGTATTAGACACATTCCTGCCAGGACGACTGCGAAAGATGGTCCAATTCAGATTAAACTTAAGTGAATTAATATGACTGCACAGTCACTCACATAAATAAGGTGAGATAAAGTACAGGTGACTTTCTTTTTTCCTCAAACCATGAAGTACTACCTTTTTAGTAAAGCAGACATACCTGAGAGCACTGTGTATTTGAGGGCCTCCTGAGCAAAGACACTAACAAGCCCGTCCCATAATGAGTCCAGAATAGAGCCCAGGTCCAATAAATAACGCGACTCCCATTTCAGACAGTACTGCTCGCCACATGCTCCTAGACTGGACCAGGGAGCCTGGAACGAACCTATGATGGCCAGTCGAAACTAAACCTTAGTGTGAACAATATTTCATGGCTATTTCTGGCTTTTTATATTAAAGGGGTCATATGATGCTTTTAAATGTTTGCCTTATTCTATATAACAGAGAGCTAGCTAAAGTCAGCGAATAAAACACTGACACAACGATGAACAAGTAACAACAATATTCGCAATAACATTTCGTTTTACTGAATAATTAAGTAAACATAATTTCTTACTTCTATCTTTGTAAAGAAACCTCATTGCTTAACTGGCTACTCTCTGCTGTCTCAGACGACGACATCGTTTCCTGTCGGCCACCGTAACTTCTGTTGGTTGCAATTCGCAACCTCACCACTAGAAATCACACACTGCACCTTTAAGGGGCGTTACATTTCTGACACGCCTGAGGTGTTTGGCCAATCACAACGCACTGGTTCAGCTGGCCAATCAGAGCACTTTTCCGGAAGGAAGGGTTTTGTAGAAATCAGTGCGTTTCAGACAGACTGGGAATAGAAGAGCTTCAATAATGTACAGTATGTGAAAAATAATGTTTTTTGAAGCATGTTAACCTATTCTATTACACCCAATAAACAAAATAGCGAACTTTTAAAATAGCATCATACGACCCCTTTAATAAATAATAAACGCCACATATTCAGTGCATGTTAAAGGGTTAGTTCACCCAAAAATGATTCACGGACACACCAGATACACGTCATCAGCTTCACTGAATTCGGCTTGACAACAGAACTGGAAAAGAATACAATGCTGAATAAAGTCGTAGTTTTTGTTATTTTTGGACCAAAATGTATTTTGGATGCTTCAAAACATTCTAACTAACCCACTGATGTCACATGGACTACTTTGATGATGTCTTTATTTCCTTTCTGGACAAGGACAGTATACCGTACATACATTTTCAATGGAGGGACAGAAAGCTCTCGGACTAAATCTAAAATATCTTAAACTGTGTTCCGAAGATGAACGGAAGTCTTACGGGCTTGGAACGACATGAGGGTCATTAATGACATAATTTTCATTTTTGGTTGAACTAACCCTTTAAAGTACTAACACAAGAGACTTTAAAACATAATAGTAACTGAGAAAATGCTATTTTGATGGTGATATGATGGTTAATTTGAGCACTCACTGTATTTGCCGCTGCATAACCAGCCTGTCACGGCTATAGTCAGATGCAGATGCTTTCCAGAACTCATCGGAAGAAACTCAAACTCCTGTATAGCGCCGACACGCTTGTTCATTTTATAGCCTGATGAGTAATGCAAAAATGAGTAAATATACCTTGTGGTATCTTCATGTTATAATACATATAAGAGATAAGAGATTTAAACTAAAATATAGAAAACTTAATCTGCAAATAGAGATAATGTGGAGGCACACACACACACACAAACTGCATTTAAAGAAATACCAAGCAACAACAACCTTGAGCTCAGCTCATTTTAAATGGCAGCTGACAATGTGCTCGGCTTAAAAGCAAGATTATATAAAACTCTATTCGAACCAGAAAACGGGCTGTAACTTTATCACTGTCAGTATGCCACTTGATCTGCTCACATACCAATTCTCTAACAAAGGTAATTGAAGTGCCCCTATTATGCTTTTTCGAATATTCACTTTCAAGCAGTGTGTAATACAGCCGTTTGTAAACGATGTAAACAAAGTTGTAAAGCCGAAAGTGCACGATAAATAAAGTTATTGTCGTTCAAAAGAAAGAATCACCTCTGAACCACCTAAACGAGTCGTCAGGCATTCGAATCCCACTTTGTTTCGACTACACGTCACTGGATAACACTTTTGCATATTGCCCGCCTATGATCTTCATTGGCTGCCCGCAAACAACGTCTACTATGACACTCCCTCAAATGCTGTAGCTGTATTGTATACATGTCGGGTGTTCAAAATCCAGTTTTTTGTTTTATATTGACCTCCGGCTAACCGGCTGACTGACGGTCTTACTGAAATACTTCTGCTAATCATCCGTGGGCCACTATTACCTAAAACTGTCTATTAATGCAGATTGTCTGACGTTCTTACTACTTTGAGTAATGATAAAGGATAGAGCAAGGTTTGTTTTACAAATTGCTGCTTAATTATTATTAATTACTATATTATTATTGTTATTATGAGCATTGTAGAGGCCAAGCCCAAACTTTAAAGCCCCTGAGGTGCTGTCCCAGGGTTGAGTAATTGACGCACTTTTACCTTGTTTGATTCATGAAAGTCCAAGTCTTTTTTGTAGTTAAAACCATGGGTTCAGTTTAATTCTATCATACTCCATTGTTCTCTAGGCAAACTTCATTGCACATGTGACTTTGTACTGGTATTGTATGGTGTGTGCGTATGTGTATGTGGTCAAAAACAGTCTGTGCTTCCGGGTAACATCTAAGGAACCAAAGATTGGTTCCTATTTATACTAAGAGCGCTAATTGGCTCTTACAAGCATAATTCCCAATTCATTATAATAGTAATATATATTGAAAGTAATATAATTAGCCTGTATGGTTGCCAAGCATCACTGCAACTGAGCACAATATACATTTACATATACACTAAAACGATGATCACATATTAGATAAACTGTATACTGTATACAGTACATCTGATATGTGGGTCATAGTTTTAGTGCATATATCAGCTATTTTAGAGTCAGAAAAATAACACATTTTCTACTACAGTTTCTATTATATTCTGTAAATCACCTGTTAACCCGGCCCCCGCGGCTCCAAACAACGAGGCTATGATGGCGATGCCCGTGGCAGATCCCAGAACAGCGGCTCCACCCGCTCCCAGCACAGCTCCTGCCCCGGCAGCCACCAGAGGAGCCGCCAACCCTCCTGTGACACCTGATCAACACACACACACACACACATGATCATTCACACCAGACCAGGGAAACACATCTCATATTAGTGGGTGAATCTCATGAAATCAGTCCTGGACTTTCACCCATCAATTAAGAGACAGAACTAAGAGATAAATAATGATAATTCTTTAATTTAATAATTAAATAATATTTGTATTTTAAAAATAATATTATATATAGAATATATTATATTATATATATATATATATATAAATATTATATATTTCACACTGGTGCTGGTTGAGGAGAGAACCCCTGATATGGTTGTAAAGCGCTTTGGGTGTACAGTAGTACATATGAAAGCGCTATATAAATGCCTCATTCATAAATGCCTCATTCATATACATTTTCCAATTATGACATTATTTTTTTCATGAAAATGAAGCACATTTCCTCTCAAATTATCATAACATAATATATATTTTTAAATGTATTATTTAAATTGTGAAGTATATATCATAAATCATTTATAATATTGAATTTAATTATTATTATTATTTTAAATAAATAATTAAAGAAATTAAATAAAAACTCACAAATAAAACCTCCGGATAAATTACAGTAAAGAAAGTTTGTGAATATAAATTAAATACACAAAGTCCAGTTTTCAGTGTCCCATGATCCTTCAGAAATCCTTCTAATATGATGATTTGATGCTCAATTATTATTGGTGCTCAGTTATTAATAATGGTTCTTATTTTTATCAACGTTGAAAAACATTTTTGCTGCTTAATATGTTTGTAGAAACCATGATGCATTTTTTCTGGATTCTTTGATGAATAGAAATTTCAAAAGAACAGCATTTATTTGAAACAGAAATCTTTGGTTACATTGTAAATGTCTTTATTGTCACTCTTGATAAATTTATTGTGATTTTTAATCAGAAATGTTTCTTGAGCATCAAATCATCACATTAGAGTGATTTCTGAAGGATCATGTGACACTGAAGACTGGAGTAATGATGCTGAAAATTCAGCTTTGATCACAGGAATAAATTACATTTTGCATTATATTAAAACAGAAAACAAGTTATTTTAAGTTGTAATAATATTTCACAATATTACTGTTTTTACTGGATTTTCTGATCAAATAAATGCAGGCTTGGTGAGCATAAGAGACTTCTTTTAAAAAACGTTAAAAATCTTAATGTTTCCAAACTTTTGACATGACTGTATGATATAATTATATAATTAAAACAGCGGGGAAAGCCTGACTTCAATTTCTTATTAAAATATATAATAAATAAATCACATAAAAATAGGCTTTATTTTCTTTATTCGTGTTTTCATGGACTTTCCAGTGACATTAATAGTGACCTAATCACCTCGGCGAGACCTGTGTGGCGTTTAGACTCACCGATTACTGTCCCTCCACCCACAGTGGCAAGTCCGATGAGCAGATACCGGCGCAATTTACGACCTCTCTCTTTCTTCTGCCGTCTTGAAGACTCTTCTCTGTCGAGAGAATGTCAATTTGATTGATAATACGCTCACTGGAGTCGCTGAAAACTCAGAGGTCTAGTTCATTGTGAGCAAAATTCTATTAAAAACCAAATGACTAAAATGTAGCTTTCAGACTAAAATGAAAGCGCCGTACTGAAAGGAAAAACCTTGACTGGAAAAACATAAAATACTCCCGGCTGTGTGTGGCACACGTCACGTGTCTTGCAGCAGAGAACACATTAAAAGAGAAATCTGCAAATACATTCAAAGCTCGTTCCCCACGTCAAAAGTATTCCATTTAACAATAATATTGATTGTGCCACAGTGTTTCTGTATGATTTGCATTGACTTTGCATCTGCAGATGGCCCAGGTGGGGTTTGTAGAAAATAATCTCTTGTAAATAATCCATCCAACAGTGAAACCAGTGTGTGTTTCTCAGAGACATGAGGATAAGCTCGCAAAAAGCCCATAAAGAGGCAGCAGCTGATGATCGGAGGACGTTTCACTCACTCGCTCTCCTCTCCAGCCTCTCTCAATTTCTCTCCGAGGGTCTCTTCAAAATCCTCCAGCTGCTGTTGGGTCACACGCAGGAGACAGCTGACATGTCGGATCAGAACACGAGCCCTGGCATCATAATGTCCTACATCAGAAGAAATTAAGAAATGCTCATTACACACAAAACGAGAGTAACAGATCAGGTTGTTGTTATTAGAACTGAGACTAAAACTAAAAACATTAAAGAACCATTTTCTTTATTCTGAATAAAATAAACGTTAGCTGAAATCAAATAAAAAAAGGCTATTTCCCATTTTCATTTAGGTAATAAACAATAAAAATGTATAAAAACTATATAAACAATGAAAAAAAAAGACAAAAACAACAAAATTACGGTAACACTTTACAATAAGGTTCTATTAGTTAATGGTAAATGATGCATTAACTAAAATGAACTAACAATGAGAAATACATATGTATATGTTATTTTTTAATCTTTGTTAATGTTAGTTAATACAAAAAAAAACTGTTCATGTCAGCTCACGTCTATTATATAGCATTAACAGATGCAACTTTAGATTTTAATATGTATAAGTAAATGTTGAAATTAACATTAACTGAGATTAATAAATGCTTTAGAAGTATTTTTCATTGTTAGTTAATGTTAACTAATGTAAACAAATGAAATGTAAAGTGTTGCCAAAATTACTAAAACACAAAATCTAACTCAAAATATTCATAAAAACTATAATAATATATCAATGATATTAAAATAACACGGAGATGAATCTCAAAGATAATGTCAAAGAAGACTTTTTGGATCATTAACATGTTTTGTATCGTGACGTACACGTGAAAATGTAATTCAAGTTTTTGTTTACATTCACGTCAGCATAAAGTATTGTAGCAGAATAAATAATATTGTGATGTATATTTTTTTTTTTACAATTTAAATAATAATTTAAAATAAAAAGCATTGGGATGTGAATGTGCTTAATTGTGCTAGAAATTAAAATAAAAATCCAAAATATATGAATGCTAATGAAACAGGATTCATTTTCTTTATGCAAAATATAATTTCACATTTTTCTGGACATTAAATTGATTTATTATTCATCATTTTAAATATATTTTTTTTATGCATGCCAATGCAAAACAAACAAACAGCTAACTAAATAAGAACCGACAGCTCACCATCTTTGACAGAGAAAGACACGAGATCCTGAAAAACAGTGTTACAAAAGAGACCGTCACAAACAGTGAGTTGCACGAGCATCCATATGTCAATGCAATCATCCAGCTATGTTCATGTCACATGCGTACATGAGTGATGGGTAAAGCTCCGGCTCGAAGCAGTGGCTCTGCGTGCAAAATGGACAGGAAGGTGTCAGTGCCTTCGAACCCGAGTCCTGTCAGGAAAGCTTGCATAACCGGCATGACCGACTCATCGAGATTCAGCCACTGAACCAGACCCTCCAGATATGCCTCACGAAAACGTCTGCATTGGGAAAACATCACAGTGAAGTGTCACAACCCCAAACCTCAATATGCTGGAAGTACATTACCGTTCAAAGGTTTGGGGGCCGTAAGAAAAAGGTTAGCCGTGAAGTGCAAGTTACTATCGCAGTGAATGTAGCTAAAAGCCGAGCCACTTTCATGGTGCCCAAAACCCAGTGAACTAAACTAAACTGAAACATAACAGCATAAAAGAATTTCAAAACATAAAAGCTTTTTTCACGGTACATTAAAGTGTTGTTAAATGTTTTACTTTTGCTCGTGTCCATGAAAGAGCTGTCCCAGTGACACACCACATAACCCAGCGTACGCAAACCTCCCTGGTTCACTCAGCTGTCGGCCAAACACGTTCTCTACTGGTGACTGCTTTTCTTTCTGTCCTCCTGGGTCTGTCACAATAAAAAATAAAAAACACAAAAAATGCCTGTGAAGAATGTGTGTGTGCGCATAGATACAGATTGTGAAGTTGTGTCAGAACAGATATAGTTCTCCATATTTTCATTACATGCTTATGAGAGGTCCAAGCAAGTTTGTTCTTTTTTAAAACATTACACATTTTGTGATCACTTTTTTTGTTTGTTTTTTGCTTAACTTAATCATAATTATGGTATGCATTAATGTTGTGATTGCATAGCAACCAGTACATCATTTTAAAATATAAACACTTAGCCCTGTTGACCGGACCCACAATCTTGAAATATTACACACGTTTCTCTTCTCATGAAGAACTGTGCATTTGATAGTCTGGAAGTGCTTTTGATGACGTGCAATGTTAATATTTGTGGTTAAAAGGCTGTAGCTTCTAGAAAAAACTTAATTTGCATGTTTTCTGACACTGGAGACCACACAAAACTCTTATATTTAAAAACATTCTTACTTTGCATAGAGAATTTGCACAAACATGAGGTAATCTATGACACTATAAATGTATGTAATATGTCATTTAACTAGCTTTCTTCAGTTAAAAGCCCCGGGAAATGCATCAGATATGCGTGTGTTATTAATACGTAGCTTAAAATTCCCCTTGTTTAACCAAAACATATTTAACGTTAGGCCTTGATCTTATCCTGCAGCTGAACTGAACACTAAAGCAGCTGTTAGACACGCATGTAAATACGATCATTAGAAAACAACATCAAAAAAATACATAAAAGCCTAGTTATAAAATTAAATATAATACAACATAACGAACAATAACTAATAAGAGTTAAGAATAAGAAAACTAAAGACTCTTATTTTGTTGTAAGTTACGCTGTTGGGCAAAGCTCAAATCTTTTCAGAGTCCTTAAAAAAACAAAACTGCCCGCTTAGTGAAGTTTATGAGTACCTGGAGTTAATATCGGGTCCTCGTTGTTGTTATTTGTTGGTTCCATTGGTTTATCCTTACAGTAAATTACAGCAGATTTGTTCACTCCATGTTGGAAAGTTGTTAGTTTTGTTGTCGTGACAGATGAAAGTTCAGCACAAAGTTGTCTTGTATGCAGCAACGCCCCCTATTGGACAACTCAATTCACAAATCAAGTGAGGGACTCGCTTATGAATATTCATTACGTAAAGTTACGTTCGTCCAGCTGGCCTAACCGATTGGCTGAACGGCAAGAGTTGGTGAGGTTTCCGCTATTCAGCTGGCAAATAAGCGACTCCTAAAAGCGAGGGATTGGCTTATAAATATTAATAAGAAACGGTGCACGTTGGCAGAATATTTCAACTGAGTAGTTAGTCATTTTGGCGTTGCCAACTGGCAAATGAGTAAGATTGGCTTATGAATATGAATGAGGAAACGTGACTGGATTATCGGAATTTTAGCAGAAGGACTGGATTAAAACCAATGATGATCTATAAATCATATACAATTATTTATATAGATCACTGATAAAAAAACTCAAAATTGCCTCATGACGATTGTAGATTTATTTGAAACTTTCTGAGGATGTCAATTAATAATTAATGTCGACGTTTTGCCTGACAAATATAAGCTCTTTGTGTATTAGCTTACTTGAGATTGAATGAAAAATTGAAATATCGTCGAATATTAATATTAATTGGTTTCCGTGACGCCGCTCTAGGGAGGTTAGAAAGTAAAGGCTGCATAACCTTAATAATGAACTAAATATTCATAAGCTGAGTCGTCTTTTTAGAATTTAAACTTGATTTTATGTTTTGAGAAAGATTTATGTTTTTAATTGTTGATGTTGTGCCACATAAATGTAAGCAGCCCGAATGCATAGTAAATACATATGCCCTTCAGAAATATTGTTGAAATGCCATTTGCGGCCAGCAGAGAGCACTAGAGGTCCATATAAAACTGCAGCTATAGCCTATAATACAGTTATGTATATCCTACAGTTTAAACAACCTCACAGACACACAAAACTTTACTGTATGTATTTGTAAGCTTGTTTATTGTAATGTAAAAAAACAACAATTGATTCTTTTTCCTTGATCGTATCTGGAACTGAACACTAAGCAGCTGTATATTTGTTATATATATATATATGTATAAAATGACATAATCATCCCTGAATATATAATTTTATCACTAATTGCCCATCTTTGATGGATTATAGCAATTTGTCTGAGTTACATAATTCGCATTGCAAGCAATAACTCACTTTTTGACACCTACTGGTATTTTAGATTCATTATGATCTTGATGGCTGCTGTTGTTATATAATGTCTATGAGCTGCTGTGTCTTGTTGCTATTTCCACTAAAAGCCCATATTCGGGATGATCCAGGAGAACAGTTTGTGAAATGCATGATTACATGATTTTCCAAAAACCAAAAGAGCATATCTAGTATGCGATTAACAATCTCCATAGGAGCAATGGCTATATATGAACATGTCTTTACAGCTTCACACGCCTGTACACAGACTCATGGACATGTCTATTCATATTCTTTTCACAACATGTAACTGACATTCGTAACAAGAGAATGTGTGTGCATTTGTGCACATCTATGTCATGTCTCTGTCTCTCTCTCTCTCTCTCTCTCTCTCTCTCTCTCTCTCTCTCTCTCTCTCTCTCTCTCTCTCTCTCTCTCTCTCTCTCTCTCTCTCTCTCTCCTCTCTCTCTCTCTCTCTCTCTCTGCCTGGTACCATCTCTTTACAGAGGTTATGAGGTCAAGACTCGAAGAGAGAGGAAGAACTAGCTGTCAGCGTTACAGTAATACAAACCCTGCTCCTTCATTCATGCAGTGAAGAATCTTACCTTTGTGTTTGAGGTCAAAACATCCTGTTTATACATCAGTGTGGGTTACAGACGTCTTTATTTGTTCTTCTTTCTCCATTTCAACTTGAGAAGTTTGTATGCAACCTGCTTGAGAGAGATACAGAGCACAACATGTCATTTCTTCCATTTCACTTTAATGTAAAAGCATTTACAGTTCCAGCATTCACAACCCACAGAAACAGAAGATCCACAGAGAGAGATTCACAAAGCTCTTTTAATTAAAAACATTAGCCAGGGACAAAATATAGATGTCAATTTGAATATATTACATAATAATAGTAATAATAACAATAATACTTATTATTGTTGTAATTATATATTTCATATCACAATACATTATTATTATCATCTATTAAATATATTATATTACTTTTAAATAATAATACTATTAATACAATAATTACTCATTTTATTATTACACTTAATATTATACAAAATTATTATTAATAATAATTTATTATAACAATACACAATTACATTATTTATATTATTTTTATTATACCACAATTAAATAATAATAATAATACATTATTATTATGATAAATATTATTACCATCTATTAAATATATTACATTTTATTACATTTGAATGATAATTATTATATATTTAATAATACAATTATAATGACACATTTAATTTTACAATGCAATATTTTTAATTATTATCTATTAAATATATTTAAAAACAATAATACTTATTATTATTATACTTTATATTAAAATAAATTATTATTACTATAATATTATTATTTTACCACTATTATATAATAATAATACATTATTATTATTAAATATATTATAAAATTGTAAATATTGTAAAAAACATTATATTACTTTTAAATAATAATAATTATTATTATTGTATTCTATCTATAGATACTTTATTTTTTATTTAAGATAAAATATTTATATTGTTTTATTAGGTTAAACTGAACTAGGCCTATATAAATAAATACAAGCGTATTGTTTTATGACGTTAAATAAATAAATAAATAAATAGTAAAATAGTAATAGTAAATAATAATGAAACCCTTTCTGGTTTCATTTGTTATGCATCTCTATTATCTGTAGCATCTTATCTTCTTAGCATTGTTTGTTTATATTAGCTTATAGTGTTAAGTTGCGCTTATGTTATTGACTGAGATTCTTTTCTTTTCTCAGATATTTAAATATAACAGTTTATAGACAGACTGTGGTTTAGTGATTTACAGCTCCTCATCTCCTCCATCTCATTCCCATCAGCCCGACGAGAGACTCGTTTCTAGAGCTCAAACGCAGAGACAAGCAGAAGAAAGGTGCTAAAGCTGTTTGTTCAAAGCGGCTTTACTGTCATCAAGAGCTCCCCACATCTATTGAGAGATAACAGAGCAGAGACACGCACACACACTTATAAAGATCTGTCTTAGCAAGCATTGTTCTACATTAAGTGTGTGTTCAGTACATCCGCAGCCGAATCTGTCGAGACAGGCCTCACAGAACAGGGGGATTCTTGGGGAATTTGGCGCCCAATCAAAGGCAATATAAACTGAATACACCCTCTTGACATCCGCTCAGTCAGATAAGGTAAACAAACTCAAAAAGATCATTCACAGCACACAAACATGCTCTCGATACAACCACCGGCCTTGTACAACGCCAAAGCAAAGCCACAAGACCTGTCTGGCCTTATACGCACGTGTAAAGACTTTTGTGTGTGATTGTGTGTATACGTGTGTTTCTATGGAAAGAAGGGCAGCTGGACAGTCTTTTGGGAATGGTGGGAGTGGAAGAGTAGGTCGGGATATGTCTAAAGAGAGATATAAAAGAAAACCGCAGCTGTATAAGACTCCGGCCAACACGGGGAAATGCTTAAACGCATTGCAACGCATGAGAACATGTGAGGAACTAACGATGACTTTGGGGAATGGGAGGAATGCAAAGCAGTGCAGAAACAGGTCTCTGTAATATTTCTCCTAGATATGTGGAGACTTTTGGTTCTTTGGGTAAAACGACTCTATTGTTTGTCTCATCTTTCTCTCAAACTGTGCTCGAATGTGCAAATATATCAGTCTGTGATAAAACATCTCAATACGACTTCTCATCGAATTCTTCCGAGACCAAATTAGTTGAGCTGCTATCCATAGCTATGCGTCAATAGCCCCTTTCACACAGCGCTTTGAACCCGGCAAATTGCCCGAGTACCTTCTGCGTGAACGCAAACACGACCCGGGAATGGGATTGATGCCGGGATTGATGCCGGGATCGATGCCGGCATTGGGGAGCTAACATTGCCGTGTTCAGACCCGGAACGTGCGCTGTGTGAACAAAAGCCAGAACCAATGCCGTATAAGGGGTGTGTCGTAGTGATGATTTACGAGGCTTTGCAATGACGTAGTTATCGTGCGACTCAGTTACTCTAGAAGAAAGTTTGTGTTCGTCATCGATACAAGAAAGAACCCAAGGGGGTAATCCATCGACCGGAAGTTGAAGCCGGCCGGGTGCCGCCATGTTGTAGCAGAACTTCACTTGCGTTAGCATTTCCATTGACTCCCATTCATTTTGCCGTCACTTTGACAGCGAATAACTTTACATCTGAGGCGTTTAAAGACTCCATTTGTCCATTATTTATTTCTAAAGAAACACGACAATGTATAAAGGGCTCCATTACCTTCTATGTTACAGTATGGCCCCGTAGAAACAGATTTAGTAAAAATAGGCTAACGATTGCGTCATAACCACTCGACTCTCTGTCGCGCTGTACAGAAATTACCGTACAGACAGGAGGAGAAGCTCGCAGGCAATCGGGGGGACGTCCCGTCAAGGGAGAAGCCCATAGATAATGAGTCCATAAAAGCAACGGAATACTTACTCCTGCTCACTCACGCCAAAGAACTCTTTGCTCAAGTTCCCCGTCTCTGCAAGATTAACGTTGGCAATTTTCACGCACAGCTACTAGAAGATTAACGTCTGTCAGACAGGTTGCTCACGTCATCAAGCTTAGTTTGAGTCGGTTTGAGTCTGCGCGTCAGGAATGGAAGTGCTCAAAAATCGCTAAAAATGGGCTTCAACTGTCTCAACTGAGTTCCAATGAGATGGCTCTGTCCACTTCTTATACTGTCTATGGAAAGAACGAACAATTGTCTGCAAACTGGACTGAAGTAGATACCCGTCACATCCAACGTCACGCGTCTTTCCGGAACATACACGGGTTGTGTGTGAACGCGCTCTCTGATTCCGGCAAATCACTGGCAGTGTGAATGAAGCAAAATCAAA